GTTAGGAAACACTTAAAGATCTTAAGTGAAACCTAACGATCTTGACAAAAACAATGAGAAATCTCTACAAATCCAACGAAAAATTAGATACAAACAGGAATTTTAATGCAAGAACTCAAACTAATGGAAGAAAATGGCAAGATACAATTGATTCTATATTCAAGAGGAGGATCTTTCTCTCCCAAATCTCTAGACGCCGCAAGAAGCCCAAAAAAACTACAACAAAATTTTAGATGCCGTAACCCTAGGAGAACAAACTATTTAATGCATACAATCCAGAAGGAAATATCTAAACAGTCCCTACATTAAAATTTCCCTCCTAACTCCCTCAAAAATCCTTCCTAAACAGCTCCCTTGGACTTGGGTGTGTGTTTGGCGTGTACAGGAGGCGGAACTCTTCCGTCTCTGTTATGCGTGAGCCGGTCCTGTATGGACCGGCTAGACCGGTGTAATAGCATGTTTAACCAAAATGTAACCCTTATAAATTTCCTTCACCCTTAATCAATCTCCTTTGAAGTAGACAAGTAAATGTGCACTAAACAAATACTATAACAAATTTCAGTAAATACCTATGCATTACACAAAACAAGCATGCATTCAAAGAAAACAATCAATTAAAAAATTTAGTTTCGATATAAGTTAAATTCCAAATCAAGATTAAGGTCTCAGATGATCTTTCATCATATCAGAATGCTAAATATCCGTATGCATTGTCAAATTTAAAAAAGCACGATACAGTCACAAACCATCTATTATCTTAATATTGTGAGTTGACTGAGTACTTGCTGATCTTGAAGCTGAGGTCTTTGATGAAGAATATTTCTAAGAGTGGCTTGATGATTGCGTAGTGTGAGGGATATATATATATAATGTAGCTGACCCCACATAGTGGGATAAAGGCTCGATGTTGTTGCATGCTCTAGAATTTAGCTATATTGATTCATAGAATGACCTTAAACCCAAGTTATGTAGAGCCGCATTAGTACACTTAAGAATAGCTATTAGCTATATATTGTTCTTACTTATCTTTAATGACATGCAAACTTGTTTAAAGAATCTCCAATTTAACTCACATCTACAGCCTACAAGATAAACATAAATCCCTTATTTCAGGTTCTTTAAATGAGGTGTTGCCCTGCATAGTGGCATAATCTACTCATTATTTAGTTATAATGTGTTGGATTAATGAAGTAAGCTCGTAGAAGATGCATAATGTTAGATCTCTAGATCTAGATGAGATATTGATAGGAAACACTTTTAGATCTCAAGTAATTCCTATCAATCTTTGGAAAACAACAAAAGTTCTCTCCAAAAACCCACAAAAACCAAGAAAATAGTAGATAATTTGTATTATTTGATGAAATGAAAACAAAAAAAAAATATCAAGATACAATTGATCCTCTATTCGAGAGGATCTATCTCTCCCAAATCTCTAGACTCTGCTAGAGCCCAAAAACCTTAGAGATATCAAATTTTACCAAATTCAAGATACCCTAACCCTAGGAAAACAAATTATTTAATGTTTGCAATCCAAAAGGAAATATCTAAACAGTCCCTACATTCAAATTTCCCTCCTAACTCCTTTCAAAATCCTTCCTAAACAACTTTGTCAGATCTGGCTGTCAGATCACGTGTAAAGGAGGCTGAGAGTTCTGCCTGTTTCGCACGAGTCGGTCCCGTAGGACTGGCTGGACTTATCCAATGGATCTATCTAACAATACTCCCCTCCCAAAGACCTATCTTGTCCACAAGGTGGAAAGACAACACCCTCCTACATTCCCTCTTCATCACAAACAATAAGAATATGAAGAGTTCTGTCATTACATCTGTGCCCCGGCGTATACCTTTTGTCACATCGGAAACAGAGCTCATTCGCTCTTTTCTCCTGTAATCCCGTTTTTGTGAGCTTCTTAAAGTTGTCCCCAGGCCTTCCTCCTACATTCTTGTCCTTTGAACTCTCCCTGAGAGTATCCGGTGTTGGCTCCTTGGGTGCCTAAAAGGTGGTGGTCATCCTATACGAGCCTCCTGAGCTGTTGCCTCCCGTTCCTCTCTTCAGTTGCCTCTGATCCTCCACCAGCAAAGCTAGCTTCGTAGTCTCACCCAAGTTACGAGGCCTCATCATTCTAACCGCTGCGCGGATCTTTGGGTTCAGTCCCTTCATAAAGTTATCCTCCAGTACAGTCTCTAGAAACTGATCCAATCAGCTAGCAAGATACTCGAATTGCTCATGGTACTCCACCACTATCCCCTACTGCATCAAAGCGAAGAACTGCTCATAGATGTCTCCTCCCCTGCTGGTTTGGAAATGTTCCAACAGGAAGTCCTTAAACTCTCTCCAGGTTCTTATCGGTCATCTTGTATCCCTCCAGTAGTACCATGCTAAAACTTTCCCTTCCAAACACATCCCAGCTGTCGTCAGTCTCTCCCCTTCCTTTAACCTGTTGACGGTAAAGTACCTTTCCACCTCATAGATTCATCCATGGGCATCCTCTCCCTCAAAAATAGGCATCTTCAGCTTCCTCATCCTTAGATCGCCTCCATTCCCTTTATAATTTCCCCTTCCCCAAGTGGACGGTTCCCTCCATGTGTCCCAATCATCCCTTCTATGTTCATACCCAAGCCTTTCATCAAATTCCCACATTCTTTTTTCAAATTCAGCACCCCTTGGATCATAACAAATCCCTCCCCTTTCAAATTCAGCCCCCCCTTTAGTCATAATTACTCATTGCCCTTTCAAATCTCGCCCCTCCTCTCAAAATTATCACATCTTCGTTCTTTCCTTACCTCCTCACGCCTCTCCCCACACCCTTTACCCGGCTTCTCCCTTGGAATAGGCTCTAGGAAAGGTATTCTTTCTTTTCTCTTTCGAGTCTCCACCTCCTGATCATCCCTTTGCCTTATTGGATTAGAGTTTTTCTCGTTTCCTCGATTGTCGGAGGCTTCCCTTACCCCTAACAACGCCACTTTGGATTGACCCTCGAGCAACTTCTTCAACATCTCCCCCAGGCTGGAAAAACTCTCATCCATCTTCTCGTGGATGACTGAAAATGGACTTTTGACATCTGAAAGTTGTGTGGAGATCTGAAATTTCAGTTTTCAATTGTCCTATCTCTTCTTCCAACACTTCTACCTTTCTTCATGCCATGGGAACATGGATTTAGGCTACAATAGCAAAGAGCAACAAGTTTGACTCGAATTCTGGCCTCCAATCAGCAAAAACAACAAGCTTGGATATAAAACACAACAAAATTCAGCAAGGAATACTTCTATTTCAGCCCAAGAAATTGCTCTGATACCAATTTGATAGGAAGCACTTGTTGATCTCAAGTAATTCCTATAAATCTTTGGAAAACAACAAATATTCTCCACTAAACCATGAAAACAGTAGATAATTTGTATTATTTGATGAAATGGAAACGAAAAATACCAAGATACAATTGATCCTCTATTCGAGAGGAGGGTCTATCTCTCCTAGATCTCTAGACGCCGCTAGAGCCCAAAAACCTAAGAGATCTCAAATTTCAGCCAAATTCGAGATATCATAACCCTAGGAAACAATCTATTTAATGCGTACAATCCAAAAGGAAATCTCTAAATAGTCCCTACATTCAAATTTCCCTCCTAACTCCCTTCAAAATCCTTCCTAACAGCTCCGTCAGATCTGGCGGTTGGATCGCGCATACAGGAGGCGGAGAGTTCCACCTATTTTGCATTGGCCGATCACATAGGACCGGCTGGACCGGTCTAACAGATATCCGCTAAGATTTTTTAGAGTTTTATAATGTTAAGTTAATTAGAATTTTTTAATGAAAATCTGAAAATTAAGAGAGTTAAATGATTGAGGAATATGATTTTGGTATTAATAGTTAAGAATTAAGCTAATCTTAGCAATTGTTTTGATAATAAAGAAAAAAATTTATGACACTTGAAATTAAGTTATGGGGGAGAATAATAAAACATTTAGAAAAAATATCATATATGCTGTTTTCTTGTCCCCGCAAAGGGCATTAATGTGAAAATGAGGTAGAGAAATGATCTCTATATGTTTTTATTGATTTTGAAAGGTTTATGATCAGGTATCCACGAGAACTGATTTGATATACATTAAAAAAAAATCATAGGAATATCCCAAGTCATCAAAGATTTGTATGATGGAGCATTGACTTATTTTAATAGTTGTGGGATAACCAATGAGTTTTGAATTACAACAAGATTACAACAATGATCAACATTAAGTTCATATCTTTTTTGCATTCATTATTGAGATGCTTAGTAGGAATATTCAACTTTTCATATATGACTTAGTTTTAATCGGTGAATATTTGATGAAATAAATAGAATTTAGAATAATGGTAAACTGCTTAAAAGATAATGGGCTTGGCAAAACAAATCTTTAATACATATTATGTAATTTTAGTAGGTATAATGCTCTAAATTATTTGATTACGTTTCAACAAGATAAAATAATATATAGATTTAATATGTTAATAATTATCTGATAATATTACTATAAGATAAAATGATATGTAAATGTGATATGTTTGACTATTTTGTATTCATTATATAGAAAAATGAGGATATGGATGAATATATGCTTTTCGTGCTAAGGTTAGATTGTAAAAAAGAAGTGTTTTAGCCTTTTAGGAGAGCTATGCAATTAGAAAATATCAAGGAGACTTCAATGATAAATTTTATGAATCTGTATTTAGGCTGACAAAATGTCTCTTGTTAACCTAGTTTTGATCAATCAGCTATTGAAAATAATTTTCATTAGACAGATTTTTCTTGAGGGGCTGAACCTCTTTTTGCTATGCTTGTGATTTGCACTTGCTTCAATTTTTTTTTCTTTTATTGTCAATATATCTTCATCTTCTTTTGATAAGATTTGCTTGGCTAGTTGCTCAGTGGCATCTGTTTGATGTTTAAATATGCAAATTTATTCTTCTTTTTCTTTCTAAAAGCTTGACCACCGAATGAATGACCATTTCTCAATTTTCCAGCTTTATAAGACCAGAGAGGAGAAGTACCTTCTTGATTTGCAGAGGGTTAGTGGCCCGCAGCTTCTATTTCTAGACCTATGCGCTGCATTCCTCGCTCAGCTGAGAGTTCTATGATGACTTTCTCCCTCTCTGTTTTGCTTTATTTAGTTTCTTCATTTTTCCTGTTGCTCTACTGGTTCCCTTTATCACCTGCTCCCTTAAAACTTTCTAAGTACCACAGAATTTGATTTTGGGGCAGCTTGGATATTGATCGTGAATGTAAATAATCTGCTATCGGCTATCCTTTTTTGCTCTACCCTGGTGTTGGCCTTTATGAAATTGCAACCAAGTATTTGTAGTCACAGAACGTACTGAATAATAATGAAAAAGCAAATTAATCCATTTTTAGCTGTCTTTTGAGCAACTTATCTGCCCATTATCTGCTTAATTTGTGTGTAATTTGAGAGCATTTGGCTTTTCATGTTTGACTTAGGCTTCGTTTGGGACGACTTTTTTTTTGCTTCTTAAAGCAGCTTTCTAGTATAAAAGTTTTAATTTTTGTATTAAAAAGCTGCTTTACGAAGCAGTAATAAAGCCGTCCCAAACAAAGCCTTAGTTTCTGAGGCTTGTGCTGGATAAGATAAATATATAGAGATTGCTGATGTTACTAGTAGCAACATACAACAGGAATTTATGAAAATGTTCTACAACTCTTCTTAGTAGAAGCCATTGTTGTTCCAGTGATCTGGGTGAAAATTTGGTTGGTTTCGTTCTGTTTTACTCGAATCAAGAACTGAAGATGTTGAACTTGATGGTGGTTGACTGGCGGCTGCTACGGCGAAGGCGGCGACGAAGGGCAGAGGAGCGCTGAAGATTAATGAATTGACAGTGAAGAATGTGGTTATTAGAGATGTTAAGGATGTGATCTTGAGCCTATATTGGTCTTAGTTTTAGATCAACTTGAAGTCAGTTGATCCTATATTGAGTTATGCTTAATTGGCAAACTATGTTTGTAGTATGGTTTGATCTAATCTTGATGATAGTTAGTTATAGTTTGTTAATTTTAATTTATGTTTGATTTTAGTAAAATTTGACTTGATACTCGTTAAAATGGTTAAGGGGTTGTTTGGTTTATTGTATTTAGGATGTAAAGTATTTCAAATGCAGGGGTTTTGAAAATATTAATGTTTGGTTTGAAGTTAAAGAAATGCAAGGGTGTAAATTGAGGTTTTGTTTGTTGCTACTTTTTTACTGTTTATTAAAGCGGTTTTTTAGTTTAAAAATTTAAATTTTTGAATAAAAAAACTAATTTAAGAAGCAATAAAAAAGCTGTCTCAGATGAAGTCTGAGTTTATTTCAAATATATTAGCTAGTGAATTTTGGGTGTATTTGGAATTTCATGGATTTGAACGTTTTCTAAATACATCATTAATGTATAGCCATAAAATATGAATTGCACTATTCAATAGGTAAACATTCAACCAACCATACACATTAATTCTATTAGAGTAAAAGTTAAGCTATAGAGAAAATCTTGCCAATAACATTTTGATATGATTAGACACAATTAGCATATATATATGCCTAATATCAACTTAATTATAATTTGCTTACACTATTTGAAACAAGAAGCCCAACTCATTTACTCCTTTTGAGTATGTGGAGATACTTTTTATACTATTTTGTTTAAATGATAAAAGGGCCTACTATTTGTTTCATGGTAAGTATACTTCATGAACTAAATAATTTTAATTTATGTTTGATTTTAGTAAAATTTGACTTGATACTCGTCAAAACGGTTAAGGGGTTGTTTGGTTTATTGTATTTAGGATGTAAAGTATTTCAAATGCAGGGGTTTTGAAAATATTAATGTTTGGTTTGAAGTTAAAGGAATGCAAGGGTGTAAATTGAGGTTTTATTTGTTGCTACTTTTTTACTGTTTCTTAAAGTGATTTTTTGTTTAAAAATTTTAATTTTTGAATAAAAAATTACTTTAAATGAAGTCTGAGAATATATTAGCTAGTGAATTTTGGGTGTATTTGGAATATCATGGATTTGAACGTTTTCTAAATACATCATTAATGTATAGCCATGAAATATGACTTGCACTATTCAATAGGTAAGCATTCAACCAACCATACACATTAATTCTATTAGAGTAAAAGTTAAGCTATAGAGAAAATCTTGCCAATAACATTTTGATATGATTAGACACAATTAGCATATATCTATGCCTAATATCAACTTAATTATAATTTGATTACACTATTTGGAACAAGAAGCCCAACTCATTCACTTCTTTTGAGTATGTGGAGATATTTTTTTATACTATTTTGTTTAAATGATAAAAGGGCCTACTATTTGTTTCATGGTAAGTATACTTCATGAACTAAACTTTGCTATACAATGCACCACCAAGTTTCATTTGAGCAACCAAATGTTATAATAAAAATATATTCATAAGTTATCTTAATTTTTTGGTGATGAATAAGGGTTATAACTAACTAATACAATTTTTTTGACAATTAGAAAATATAAAATGTAAAATGCTTACACATTGTAAAGAGATAAAAGGGGATATTTGATTGGCTAAAAGAAGAATGCAGTATACAATGAATACTTGGGAATTGTTTAAATGAGTGTAAAGTATATGTGTGTGACTTCTTCTTTTTTTTTTTTTGCTCAAGTGGATGAGTGCCTTTACTATTAGAAATGGGATATGAAATGAGTATATATGTGAAAAGATTGTAGTAGCTCTAGTGGAAGATAAAATTAGAGAGAGTTGCCTTAGGTGGTTTGGTCACATAAAACGGCGGCCTTTTGATGACCCGGTTAGGGAAATAGATGCATTAGCTTTGACTTATGTTAAAAAAAGGTAGAGGTAGACTTAAAAAGATCTTGTTAGAAAATATTAGAAATGATATTATTTTATTAGATTTAAATGAGAATTTAACTTTTAACAAGGCAAAATAGAGAAAAAGGATTCATGTAGTCGACCCTATATGATGGGATAAATGATTGATGTTGTTCTTTGTTTGTTTGTTTATTTGGTTTGAAGTAGAATGAATGTAGCATAAAGTCCAAAGGTAGGGCTAGTGAGTTGCAATGTTGGTGGTGGCCGACGATGAGTGGTCAGTGAAAGATGGTGGTGACGGTGGTGGCTGACAGTAGCGGGTGGCAGTAACCTTAGGTGGTGGTTGTTGATGACGGTGGTAGCCTGTGACAACGAAAAAGGTTGCCAGCGATGGCATCGATCAAGCAAGCTTGCTTGCAGTGTAGACAATTCTCACTCAAAATTAGTTAAGTTTAGTTTACCTCAAAAAAATAAATTGTACTAAAAATTTACTTAAAAAAATAATAATACAGCCATCCCAAAAAAAACCTAGACAACTTTCATACTACTTTCTTTAACAACTTTTTAATTAAAAATTTTATTGAAAATAATAAAAAAATTTATGACAAAAAATTATCTCAAACAAAACCCAACTTACTCACTCCCCTTAGTAATGGAAAAAAACTTGCATTATCATGTTTAAAAGATAAAAGCATCCACTACTTGTTTTATGGTAAGCGCACCCACAAATCATACATTGTTATACAAAGCACTACTAAGCTTTCACTTGGAACATGAATTGATGTTGATTCGGGTGGAATCGAGCTCGATGAAGTTCGATCAACTCAATCGAACGTGCTCGATGGCAAATCAAGACAAAAACGAGGTCAACACTATCCAAAGTTCTATTGAGATTTGATGAATCGTTCCCATAAATTAGACCAACAATGATGTTGATCAATGAGAACTTGAACAATTTGATCAAAGCTTCAAACGAATCCAAAAATGGAGATTTGGACGATCATATTGTATTCTTCTGGTCTTTAGAACAACGCGAGGAACATCACAAGGCCATTTATCTTTTAGTTGGACCCGAGCTTCCTATCCTTCATTGAAGATCATCGGAAGTAATCCCTGTAGATTTCTCTATAGAATGAGTAAATACAATTTCACCGCGAGATTTGGGGTTCTTGGATTCAAGAAGCTCAAATGCAATTATGCCGATCTACAGTGGATAGGAATGGAGGCGCTGCAGCGAGATCTGATGATGGGGAGCTGAAGATTGGGTATGTCAAAATCTCACGGCGAGATCTATCCGAATCGATGCATTTTGGTCAAGGGCACAGAGGTAGAGGGATCTTTGCAACTCTCCTTCTGCGTGGATGGTGGAGGGCATGATCTAAGAGATTTGAGAGGAGAGGGGTCTGGAAAACACGCTAGGTTTGAAGGGATTCGTCATGCCCGGCCGACATCGGTATGGGTGTTTGTTGGGATGGACAATCTTGTTCGTGAACGCGGAAGTGGCTGAGCTCGGCTTTGTGATCCCGAGCGGACAAGCAATTGTTAGGTATCTGCGGATGCCAATGAAGTTACGGCTGGGGAAGATGAAGACCAGGAGCACCTGGTGGTTCTTAAGGAGAATATGTACCTTTTGATGAAATCATGGCAAGTTTCCTGAGTACAGATAGAGGTAGGTCGGCATAATTCAAGATCGCAGAAACAAACATGATGGATCTTGAATCCAACGACGAGTCTTGCACAAAGATGGCACAAACTATCCATGAAGATCTGGTGGTGGCGGTGGATCAGTATCACAACAAGAGCAACCAAAGCCATGAGCAGTAAGTAAACAGCACTAAAGAAAAGGAAAGTACAAGAAAATTCAAATATAACTGTGCTAAAGAAGGAAACGAAAATCCAAAAGAAATTTTCTTTGAAGTATTATATCTTTTATGAATAATAGATTGGATACAGATAAAAACAATGACACCTGATTCTGCTTACAACCTACAACAAGAAGTCATACGAGAAGATAAATTTCAATGCAGAAAATGACATCAATAGCTTTCGTTGGCTACTTGGGTTGACCTCAGAGATTCACCACCAGCATTGACTTTGTAATACATGAAGAAGCATCAGCTTCATGGGCTGCATGTTTCCTGGAAATTCTATTCCACTTGATTTCAGAGTCAGAAACATTGCAAGCAGTGACAAAGTCCAAAACTTGACCAAATATTCTGAACATTTCAACACCATAAATCTTGTTTTGATCTGCAAAAAATGAAGCATTCCAGTCCATGGGAGCATCTGGGTGCCTAGAGACCTCACTCCATGAATGAGACTTCAGATCTAACTCCCACATCTTTCTTACAGCTTTCTCCCTCCTATTAAGCAGGCCATCATAGTCGCACCAGGAGACACACAACATAAACAATCGAGTCCGACAAGACACAAGCTTAGGGTAATAATCCGGAAGCCGTGGAGGAGGACGGTGAACTTGTATCATCATCCAACAGCCCTTCTCAAGATCAAATCCTGCAAGTTTGTCTGTTTCAGAATAGACATAGAACATACAATTGCAGACAGTGCCAGAGCAAACAGGCCCAAAGGATGCAGGTAGTCGAGCAATCTCTACCCATCTGTTAGTAATAGGATCATAAATTTCTCCAGAATCAAGAGGCTCATCCCAAGAACCATGGCCACCCACAGATATCAGAGCAAATTTGGATTGAATGTTTCTCTGTTTAGTAGAATAAGTAAGCTTTCTGTTGGGCTGCAATAAGTTCTCCGTCTCTTGGAAAGCATCCCTTAATTGGCGCCGTAGAGATAATCTATGGGGGTCCTCATATACATCTGAATTTCCACCTGCGTGTGACTTCGTCTGTGTTCGACAATGCCTTTGAATCTGGCTATGAAAAATGTTGCAACTTGAAGTGACTTCAAAAACTCCAAGAATAGGTTCAGATCTTGCTTCTTTCATTGGAGCAGCTTCATGAAATGAGCCTTTGATAGGGCTAAAGACCAAAACCTCTTTAAGAGTCTTCTTTGAACTCCTTTCCAATGAAGAAGAGGAAGCAACAAAGGATGAACAACCACCAACAATGTAAACTTCAGTCCCAATACTCGCAACAGAAAACAAGGAGCAATTCTTCAATGCATTGTGGCTACTTCGATGCCATCGATCAAAAGAGACATCCAAAGCATGTATCTCACCTCCGTTAAATCCGTTTCTTGTAATGCCAAATAAGAACAAGCATGGTCTTTGATAAGATCCCTCAGATCTCCTTTGCATAAAATGGGTTTTGCCAATTATGCATCTCCATTTCCGGCAGACCCTACGAGCAGCTATTAGAGACGTCCATGGAAGCATAACTAGAATCATCTCCAACAGATCATCTGGTAAGGAATTCATGGGAGGAAAGCTTAATGGGCGCTGCTCAATTCCTTTATCCTTCCTAGAACCCTTTCTCCAAAACTTCTCTGGTAAAGCAATGGCATTCTCCACTATACTCTTTCCAGGCTTGCAGTCGTCCGCAGAAATCAATCTCCCTCTACAGTTTATGTCCAAATCCTCACAAGCTCCAACTTTGCATCCAGTACTCTTCACATAGGAGCTTAGGCATCCAGAGAAAGAAACCAGCCCATCATCGCTCTCCACATCTTCAAAGCTCTCACTACATTTCTTCTTCTTCTTCTTCTTCAATTTCTGGCTTATATTTCTTGCCAATCTTTTGGAAACAGTCAGATTGTCCATATCCGTCTGAATAGAAGCTATCTCACCCACAGAACCACCATCAACCCCTCCCAATTCGTTAAACACGAATGCTGCTGTCCTACTGCTGCTGTTTGATCTTAGAAACGAACCCAAACTCGCCATCGAAATTCACCTCCGAACTCAAATGGCGAAATCCTCAACTATCACAATCAGTTGTAGAAAAAAGAAAACCTATTATCTCTCCCAATTAAGGGAAAAAAAAATCATAACTTTGAAATTGGGGTTTGTCCCTGGATAACTCGATCAGGTTCCTCCCCTAGAAACAAGTAGATCCAGAGAAAGAAACGAAAATAAAAAGAAGTATAACACCAATCCTGCAAAAGGTCCGAGATTTAAGGGATTTGAGTTGCTAATAGAAAATTAAAGGGCCTAAGGATTGACTTTTTCTCAAAAATCGAAACGTTAGATCAGGAAAACCAGTGTAAAGGATAAGGAGAAGGGGAACCTGTGAAGTGAACCCTAAGCCACCGACTGCGCAGGTGCTGCGCCAGTTCGGAAGCCACTGCGGCGAACCTGAACTTCTTCTCCCCCTCTTCGCCCTCTCGCTAAATACAGAATTCTGTGATTCAAGGATAAGAATGGCCGGATTCTTCTACCTGGCGACATTAAAGGCCTTTCTCGAGCTCTCCGTTCGAAATAGTAAAGCTAGGTGTCGCCCATAAATCATTACACTATTTGCTGTTAGGTTGCAGAATGTAGTTTCTGTTTTTACTTTTTTTTAATACAGTTGGTGTCTTTTTTCAAAGTTTTTTTTTACACTAAAAATTGAAATTATATATCTTTAAAATTATATTATATACTAAATTTTATATTATATGTTATGTTAAATATTTAAATATTATATTAAGAAATTAAATCGATATATATAATTTTAATTCAGAGCTAGTAAAAATAATATAAATAATAATAATTTCAAATTAAAGAAATTTTATCTTTAAATAAATAATATAAATATTATTAATTTGCATTAGCTATTAATGGCTAATAAGTGATGATGGCATTGGATTCATGATAAAATTATTATTTGTATCATCTAATTGTGCATTAAGGTTATTTATTTGATGTTATTGCTAGTAAAAAACTTTCACATTATATGAGTTGTAAAATAGTAATGTCCAATCATCTGTTCTTATAGTTGATAGAATAGATTTGCATAACTAAATTTTTTACTTGAGTATTAATGTTTGATTTCTTTAAGCTCTACTATATAAGTGACCCATCTACAAGTGAAGTTGAACATTGAATGCACTTGCTCATATTAGGTATGTTTTGCAAAAAACTTAAGTTCTTTGGTTTTATATTTTTTTCTTCATAAAATATTGGTCGAGTTTAGAGAAGCCTCAAGGCATCCTCTTGAAAGAATTGTTAAATATTGCAAGCACATGAATGTAAGCCTATATAATTAAATGTGTTTATAGATTGGTTTGTTTTGAAAATTTATTTTATATTCATTTATTTTGTTAAGAATTTATTTTGTATTTAAGATTTATTTATTGATCAGTGTCCGACATATATTCTTGAGTTTTGAACCAATTTGATTTAGTGTATTATAAATTTGGTATAATTTCATATTGATTTTTTTTCGTATTGATTTGTTTTTTTACTCGTAGAAATGTCAATGACGATATTTTTAAAGGTGAGGAGAATGTAAGAATCTATATTTTGAATCAATCAAACAATATTTTAGGAGTAATCATAAATTCAATTTAAAAATCATCTTGACCATAATATATAGATTAGTATGCTTTAATTATAATAATTTTCTCCTAATTTTATGGGTAGTGTTGCTTCCTAAAATATTCACGATGGTAGAGAAACATAAAATTTAATCTCTTAGCTTTGTACGAAGATCCAACATACAAGCAGATAAAAGAGCGGGTATAACATTCATAAGAGACACCACTGTTTTTACGTGTAAAGCCCTAAAAAGGGGGGAAACCACGGGGCCTCGTCCAGTTTGAATGAATATACTATTATTTGCAGCCGATTACAAATGATACCCTTCATTGGAGGGAAGGCCTTGGCTTAATATAACATATATACATCATATATAATGCATTACATGGTAGAAATTGGAAGAATCAGTATTGATATGTTCATTTAGTCTGCAAGACCATAGTCGGCGGGCGACGGAGGTCAAGAAGACTGTAGTTTGGTGACAGTTGTCGGAAGGACCATTGTATGGTAAGGGAAGTCAAACGGACCATAGTCGGCGGGAGATAGGGGTTATAAAGACCAATGTATGACAATGGAGGTCGGAAGGATCGTAGTAAACGATAGAGGTTGGAAGGACCATAGTCAGTAGTAGACAAGGGTTAGAAAGACCTTTGTCAGGTGATGGAGGTCGGAAGCATTATAGTAGGCGACAAAGGTTGTTAAGATCATAGTCAGTAGAAGATATGGGTTAGAAAGACCGTTGTTTGGCGATAGCGATTGGAAGTAGACGATAGAGGTTGGAAGGACTGTAGTCGGCAGGAGACAAGGGTCAGAAAGACCATTGTCTAGTGATGGATGTTTGAAGGGCCATAGTAGACGACGGAGGTCGGAAGGACTCTAGTGGGCAGGAGACAAGGGTCAGAAAGATCGTTGTCTAGTGATGGAGGTTAGAAGATCTGTAGTAGGCAAAAGAGGTTGGAAGGACTATAGACAGCAAGAGATAAGGGTGAGAAAGACCATTGTCTAGTGGTGGAGGTCAGAAGGACCATAGTAGGTGAGGGAGGTCGTAAGAACCATATTTGGAAAGTGACAAGGGTCAGAAAGACCATTGTCTAATCATGGAGGTCGAAAGGACCATAATAGGTGATGGAGGTCGGATGGACCGTAGTAGACGACAGAGGTCAGAAGGATCATAGTCGGCAGGAGATAAGGGTTAAAAAGATCATTATCATAAGATGGTGGTCTGATGGTAGTTTGAGCACCAAGTGGTGGTCTGGAGGAACTTTGTGTAATAGGCGGTGGTCCGGTGGAACACCGACGTCAGGTGGTGGTTTGGTGGAACTCTGGGTGTCAGGTGGTGGTATGGTGGAATTTCAGGCATTATGTGGTGGTTCGACAAAACTCTGGTGTCATGTGGTCGTCTAACGGAACTCCGGGCATCAGGTGATGGTCCGATGAAACTCTGGGTGGCAGGTGGTGGTCCGGAGGAACTTTGGGAGTCAGATGGTGGTCCACCGGAACACCGGCGTGAGGTGGTGGTCTGGTAGCACTCCAGGTATCAGGTGGTAGTATGTGGAACACCGGTGTCAGGTGGTGGCCTGGTGGAATTTTGGGCATCAGGTGGTGGTCTGGTGCAACTCCGGGCGTCAGGTGGTGGTCCGGCAGAACTCCGAGCAATGGTCAAGGAGGAGTGAGGATATGAGAGCGATCTCTGACCGCTCCCTTGATCTCTTGCTTAGGGGTCCTTTATCAAGTGGAAGGAGGGGTCTATTTATAGATTTCCTAGAGTGGCATGGCCCGAAATAGGAGGAGGATCAAGGGTAAACGTGGAGTGATTTGGATGGACGGTCGATGTAGAATCCCTTAATCATGGACAGGTAGTTAGACATTTGATGGTCTTGATGATGTCAGAATTTCATGATCTTGTGCTCGTTGAATTTTTCTCGTCGAGCCGCTCAATTTGATTATAAGTATGCTATGTTTCAAAACTATTTGGAAATCTAAATTGTTGTTCGAACCTTTCAACAGAGCTCCGGGCCCTTAATTTGAACCCATTTGGGATCAGATTGAGTCGAATTCTTTGTTGTTGGGTTCATATTTTTGAGACGTTTAGTTCAATTATAAGTTTGCTAAATTTAGAGTTTAGATGATCCCAAATTTAATTTTGAAAGTTTTTGACTTGATTTTTCCTCGAGATTCGTGCCCAATCAAGATAATTTTTTGAGAATGTATCAATTGCCCCCTTATTTTTGACATCAAGGCTTTAAAAGTATAAAAATATGCATTATAGCTATTGGGGAAGGTTTTGTACAATTTAAAATTTAGAAATAATCTAATTTTGGGTGTAGAGACCCCGAACGACTTTAAAAGTATCAAAATTGAGTCTGGAATGTCAAAAATGATCATGAGGATGCCAACTACATCCAATTTGACCTTTCTGGGCAAAAAATGGGCTAGAAAGACAAGCTGCCGCCAGCCACAGTTGCGTCGCTACCATGCGCACCCGCAACTGCTCGACTGCCCAGCGCGTATGCCTTGCTACCGACAGGCTGGCTAGCTCAAGCCGATCGTGGCCCACGACCCCTGAATTGTGCGCCCATAACTACCCTAATATCCTATCCCTCCTATAAATACCCCCCTTAGGGGGTATGAGTTTCTTGCTCCTCCCCTTTTTCTAATCCTCCTCAAGCTGAAGTCTTCCCTTGATCCTGTTTAGGCGATATCCCTTGTCCAGGTCTAGGGTCACTCTCTAAGTATGATTCTTCTCCTCTTTTCCTCTTTTCTTCCCTTTTTATTCTCAAGCTGAGGTCTTCCCTTCGTCTTGTTCAGGCAATATCCGCTGTCCAGATTTTGGGCCCCTCATTGAGTAGGAGTCTCTTCTTCCTTCCCTCTTTTCCAGTTGAGGCATTTCTCCTATTTTATACAAGTAGTATCCCTTGTCCAGGGCTAAAGCCCATCTCTGAGTAAAAGGGACTTTTTCCTGCTTCTCTGCCTCTCCCCTTCAATCCTCTTCATATACATGATGCCTTCCTCTGTCTTTATATAAGTGGTATCCCTTATCTGACTATAGAGCCCTCCCTATACAAAGGTCAAACAGGCTGTCACTCTTCTTTGAGAGATCCCATGACCAAGAGATTTTTACATCCGTAGTGGTTGGCACTGGAGGTCAGAAGGGTCGTAGTCAGGTGACAGAGGTCGGAAGGATTGTGGTAGACGATAGAGGTCAGAAGGTCCGTAGTAGGCGACAGAAGTTAAGAGGACTGCAGTAAGGTGAAAAGGCCATTATAAGGAGGGTGGTCAAAAGGTCCATAATTTAGTGATGAAGGTCGGGGATGACCATTATCTGGTGACAGGCGAAAGTACGATGTAGGGTAGAAGTCTGATAAAAGTCTGACGATAGGCATAAGTATAACAAAAGTGGAAATTTAATGTCGGGTAGAAGTTCAATGACGGGTGGAAATTCAGTGTCTGGTAGAAGTTCAATGAAATTCTTATAATGGGTAGAAGTTTTATGATGGGCATAGGGTTAGCACTAGGTAGAAGTCCAACGAAAGTCCGACGACTGGCAAAAAATCAGCGTTGGGTAGAAGTCCTGACGATGGGTAAAAGAGTGTAGGTCAATAGAATCCACCAAAGATATATGACATGTCTGGGGTTGTATGTCATAGTGTTGCTCAATGATATTAACCTATATGGAATAGGTCGAGAGAATCCAATAAGGATGTATGACCTATTTGAGGTTGTATATCAAAGCATTACTCGATGATGTTAATCTATATGGAAGATATTGAGAGAATATATTAAGGATGTATGACCTATCCGAGGTTATATATAAGAGCATTACTCGATGATGTTAACATATATGGAAGAGGTCAAGAGAATCCACCAATGATATATAACCAATCAGAGATTATATGTTAGAGCTTTGCTTGATACTATTAATCTATATAGAAGAGATCGAGAGAATCCACCAAGGATGTATGATCTATCCAAGGTTATATGTCAGAGCATTGCTTAATGATGTTAACATTTATGAAAGATGTCGAGAGAATCCACC